ACAAGTGGATCTATTCTGAACAAGGACAGAATAGTGTCCGCCATAATATTTATTAAAAGAAAAATAAATAAAAGTCCGCGAGAGAGAAGCCCAACCCGAACCTGTTTTACTTCCGCATTCCTGTCGTTTTGGTCCGCAGCAGAAACTGCACGCGTGACCGCAAGTGGAGCTGCTCCGACACTGCGCCGGAGCTGTCACGCTCAGCGGCTTTGCACGTGTGACCGCTCCACAAAATTTGCTCCGGTGTAAAATATATTGCAACAAAATATTTCGGTGCAGCGTCGGACCAAATGTGTGCCGTGTGAACAGGGCTTATGTTGTCCAGTGCAGTCAGAAACATATCAAGGTCTAATTTGTAAAAAATGTGCAAACTTATCATGCGATAAAACTGACCGTTGAAGATGTTCTGCTTGCATGATAATGCTATACATCTGCACATTAATATGGTCTCAACACTTACACGTATTTTTTTTTTTTTGTTTTGTTTTTTTAATGAACATGTCAATGCAGAGTTGCTGGCTGACTGTGTTTCTTTTTTTGAATACTTTGGTGGCTCCATCAATGCTTCTTATTGAAGCATTGGAATTCAACAAGCACAGAGAAAAAAAAAACAGCGGCACACAAAAGAGGAGATACAACGGACATCTGCCTGGAAAATTATCTTCATAAAGTTTAAAATCACAAGTAGGAAATACCACTAGTGCAATTGTATTTGATTCAGTGGGAATTTCTGACCCATATTAATGGACTGGGATCGGAAAATCATTACTAAATACAATGATGAGGTCAAATGTGATGAAGAGCCTCATTAAGATATGGCGCAATTTAAGCATAAATGGATATACTGGGATGGAAGAGGAGAGGAAATACAGTCAAACAGAAGGAAGTCCACCAACCCAGCCTCAGAAAATATCAGAAAGCATAAACCCTTCTTGTATTTTAATAGTGAGGAAGGTGAATGACTGTTTTAAGTGAATTCCAGTGCCATTATCAATCCAAAGTCTTTGCTTTTGCTCTACGGTTTAAGGCAGAGGCGGTTTGAAAAGATAGTCATGTGACCTGGATTAAGCTACTTTACATTCAGTGATACATTTTAAAGCTTTAAATTCCAGGTCTTTCTGACAGTTAACGTATCCAGAGAAAAGTGCACACCATTGTTGGCAAATATCCAGCTTTTTTCAGTGCCTTTTGAATTCTGGTTCAGTTATAATTGCACAATATTATATTTATGGTTGAGCATTTAATGTGTCTCTTTTCATCTCCTCAAAAATGTGGTTTTATAAAAGAATTTGCCTGTTTTGGTTTAATACTTTGGATGCCAACACCAATGAAGATTTAGTATGCTTTAGAATGACTTCTCAAAATTGTTCTGGAAATCCGTTGGCTATGGGCCCTATTTTCATGCCCAGTCAAGTCAAGAGCAAAACGCAGTCTAACTGTGCGCAAAGGTGGAGTTTTCTTTCTTTTGGTATTTGGCTTGACAAGCGCAGATAGGAAAGAGTGTTTGCACCTTTGTGCACAGTTGTGGGCCAATCAAAAGCGGCGCACCTCATTCCCTTTAAAATCAGGGCGGTCGAAGCACAGTGAAGTGCTTGACACTGTGGAAGGAGAAATTCACTTGCTGGGGTCCGTGCATGTTGTTTGTATAATTGACATGGAGATATGTTAGAGAAGGTGGCACGGTGATCCACTGGTAAGTGCACCCGCCTCACAGTGCAGGATTCGAATCCGGCTCCGGCCTTCCTGTGTGGAGTTTGCATGTTGTCCCTGTTGCTGTGTGGGTTTTTTCTGGGTACTCCGGTGTCCTCCCACATTCCAAAAACATGCGTGGCAGGTTAATGGAACACTCGAAATTGTCCCTGGGTGTGATTGTGAGCGTGAATGCTTGTTTGTCTTTGTGTGCCCTGTGATTGACTGGCAACCAGTTCAAGGTGTATTACCCTACAGCTGGGATAGGCTCCAGCATGCTTGTGAGCCTCGTGATGATAAACGGATGAGAAAATGGATGGATGGAGGGATGTGTTCAAGAACATATGGCACAGTAAGAAGGTTACCCCATGTCAGAGAACCTGTCCTTCAAGTATGGGCCTAAATTGAGCATTCTGTCCACATTTTATGATTTGTTATATGTTCCCAGAGATAACACAGCGGTTTTGAAGTTCCTGCTGTTTATTCACAGTTTTATAGAGGTTTAACAGGTTGCACAATAGAGATGTCCGTCTGTCCGTCCACTATCCGAAGCACTTATCCTCTAGAGCAGGGGTGTCAAACTCATTTCACATGGTGGGCCACATACGGCCTCGGTAGATGTCAAGTGGGCCGGACCATTAAAATGATACCATACTTTGCTATAAATAACCAAAACAATGTCTTTCCTTTGTTTTGGTATAAAGAAGCACAAGAACATTAGGAAAATGTTGAAATTAAATGAACATATCTTTTACAAAATATTTCATGAAGCACCTTACATTTCCTTCGACAAATGTGCAATTTACTTTTATCATTCACATATATGCATTGCAAATGATCCCACTGATTGTACAAACATTAACAAGTAATTGATATTGAAAAATATAGTAATGCACTTTAAGATTAAACGAGATTCATAAAGAAAGGAAGTTTTAAACCATTTACACATGCATATGACACCATGCTTTACATAATCATCTCGCGGGCCGGATTAAACTCCTTTGCGGGCCGGATCCGGCCCGCGGGCCGTATGTTTGACACCCCTGCTCTAGAGGGTCGCGTGGCGTGCTGTCGCCTATCCCAGGGGTCTTCGGGCAATAGGCAGGGTACAATCTGAACTGCTCGCAGCCAATCACAGGGCACACATAGGCAAACAACCATTCACACTCACAATCACACGTAGGGAAAATTTGGAGTGCTCAAACAACCTGACATGCTTGTTTTTGCAGTATCCAGAAAAAAACCCACAGGCTGAACATACAAACACTTCATAGGAAGGCAGGAGCCCGGAATGGAGCCTTTGACCACTGTACTGGGAGTGGGGGATGTGCTAACCCCATCTCCCACGGTGCTAACCAGTGTCCATCGAATGAATTCAGTATTTATGAATAATTGTGTTATTGGATGTTAATGTTCATGTGCTTAATAAAAAGATTGTTGACACTCACTGATGTTGTTAAGAATTCCACGCTGCTCGTCACTTAAAAAAATAACATTCCAACTTTATGAATAATAATAGAGTTGGTGCCCAGTGTAGTAGTGCGGTCTACCAAATTCACAAACACGCTGAACCATACTTGCCCCGGCACAAAATGAAGATGCACCCGTTTTGACTCCGAACAGAGTCTACTTTCTGTTACAGATGCGGACCTAGACATTTGCATTTGCATTTTGTCAAAGGAACGCAATAAGAATGAACAAAGAATCAGCGTTACTGGAGACAACACATTTTCAGCGCTATAACACGTTTAAGGGACAGAGTATTTCTCTACAGACACAGCTCAGCTCCGTTAACAGCTGCATGTGATGAGTTCACCTTCTTTTTCACCTGATGTTCACCAGATGTTTGTTTAGTCTGCATTCATTTTGGCTCTATTTTTGTACGTACCAAATGATTCTGAGGCACACAAGTCACGCGGTAGCAGAGATAATAATCTTGTTGGACCCTCTTAATGGACTAACCACAGTTCCTGCTATTATCTTACCTGCAGTCTTGCCGTGGGTTGGCGACATATCCTGGGTATGCTCCATCAGTGATGTCACGACACATTTTACTGTCTCTGTCTGAGGGCAGTAGAGTGCCCGCTCGGACCAGGAGGCCAAGACAGTGATCAAATGTGTTTCTCTCCTCAGGACCATCCTCTGTAAAGAAACAATGGCCCAGCGAGTCATAGCCCACCACGTTTTTCACCTGCAAAGGAGAAAATATAGTTTTACTCGTATTAGTTTCAGACAACAAGAACACAAGTGTTTTCAAATGTAATTGGATTTGATGAATAAACTGTCTTTCACATCATGCCCGTTTCATTTGTCTCAAATTTAGTGCAGGGGTGTCCCTGGGGGGCCCCCATCCAGCAAGTTGAAAATGTCTCCTTCCTCCAAAATAACTGATCACAACTTTGAGAGGAAATAATTGATTTTCCAAAATCATTCAGCCATAATGTGTTGTTCTTACTGTTTTGTTTTGCAAAAGCATTTATTGATGCTCTAATGCTGTGTGAACAGCTGGTTCAATGTTCCTAAAACATCTTGAAAAGAATACTGAGAAAAAAATGTTTGCTTTTACAGTATTAACAGAAGTCAGTCAGTTAAAAAAAAAGACTGCCTTTATATCACATTATAAACACACACACACGCACGCACGCACGCACGCACGCACGCACGCACACACACACACACACACACACACACACACACACACGCGCGTTCTTGTGCTGCCATGATTCGCACCTCTGTGCTGTCTCACAGTCCAGCCTTTTCCAGTCACTTCAATTTATCAGCGGTACATGCCATGCAAGGGTTGTCTTTTCATGAAGGTCCATCTGGCTCCATCTCATTACTGGGCTTCTGTTGCCTGAGGCATTCACTAAACAGGTTGTAGCTGGGACCCATCAGCTTGATTTATTCTTGGAGCCCTGTTGTTTCCTCCTCCATAGGGACCATGACACTCACTAGTTCACGGCCCCCGCTTTCCGCTTTATGTAAAGTTTCAGGATGCTTGACTTGGGGTGGAACTCGTATAACTGCATCGTAAAGAGCTTTCTTTTCTTGACAGAAGCGGCTTGCATCTCCTCCAGTGGTCAGGGTATTATGCCACCGGGGAATCTAATTACTGGGAGGATGTCGGTGTTATGGCCTGGATCTTATTCTTGCCGTTCAGCTGACTATTCACGATCTGCTGCACCCCCTGTTTGGTATTTGACCGTGGCCGCCCTTCGAGTGGTCTCCTCATGTTTGCTGTTTGCCTGTGGAATTCCGAGGTATTGGTACCTCCCCTGTACATCTGTTATGCTGCATTCAAGTCGTTCAATCCCTTCAGCTATGATCTTCCTTCAGCTGCACATCATTTGGCCACATTTATCTATTCCAAATAACATTCCAATGCAACTGCTGTCCATCCTTATGATACGAATCAAGGAGTCGATGTCACGCTTGCTCTTGATATACAGCTTGATGTCACCCATGAGAGGAGGCGGCTGACCACTTCTGAAGAGGAACCCAAAGCCGCTCTTAGTTATGATCTGACTGAGTGGGTTCAGGCCGATGCAAAACAGCATTGGGGACAGAGCACCTCCTTGCAATATGCCACATTTGATATTCATCTGTGCAACTGGCTTTCTGTTGAGTATTTTACCATTTAAAGAATATAACCAGAGTCTGCCGGTTTTTCTCTCGTGAAAACACAAAGAAGCTTATGCGTGCTTTTATTTCTCGCTGGACTGACTATTGTAATGCTCTCCTTTCTGGTCTTCCAAAGAAAACAATTTCTAGTCTTCAACTTTTACAGAATTCAGCAGTAGGTGTGCTAACGAAAACCAGAAAGAGAAAGCATATTCCACAAAGTCGCTGTATTGGCTCCCTGTGTGTTTTAGGACCAATTTTAAGGTTCTTTAAGATTCAAAGAACTAGGTCTTCTTTCTTCATATTATTATTATAATTATTATTATTATTCATTTATTTTTACTTCTTTCATCGGGAAATAAAAAGTACATTTCTTCCTTTTATCATTCTTTTGTAAACAGCAGTTGAAAATTGGGAAGTTTCTTGAAAATATTTGGTTCCGAGAAAAATTCTTAGAAAAAGCTGAAAGAAAAAAGTGAAAGAATGCATTTCAAGCAGAACTTTCACTTCGATGCTATTTTATTTTTTGCATTTGTGATACCCCAAGTATCCAAACAAGGTCACTTTGATTATAAAATAACAGTTTATTGCAAGATAAACACTGCACTGATGCATCCCCGATGCATGAAGTTTTCATGAACGTGGAACTTGTGTGTGTGTGTGTTTGTGTGCTTGTGTGCCTGCGTGCATGTGTGTGTATGTTCGTCAAGGATGACGATGGGACTTGGGGCATCTTTTTTTGATTTGAAAAGGCTCTGTTGTTAGCGTCAGTATTCATCCATGTTCTCACTACAACACTGCTAAAGGAGTTAAAAGGGTTTTTTTCTGTTTATGTATTTCTGTGTTTTTTGGGGATCTCGTTTTACATCTTGTGTTGCCCCACCAGTACATCACCTGCAACTTGCTTCCCCAGTGGCTCCATCCATTGCCTTTTGCTTGTTTTACTATTGTCATATTAGTTTTGTGTGATGACAGCTTTGTTCCCCCCCCCCTCCATTTCCTCTGTATGTGTTGTATCTCATTCACTTGTCTTCTGAATAAAGTTTTTTTCTCCATTTTTTTATAGTTTGTGTGGTTGTCCATTCCCTTGGCAGTTGACCAATCACAAACCATTGCTGGCAGTTGACCAATCACAAACCATTGCTTCACAATGACATTGGTTGAGTCTGATAGTTTGAAAGACATTTTTGCGATGCAATTTGATGTGATTTATGGTCCTTTTCAGATGCCTTTTAATAAAGAAATAGTGCTTAATGTATTAGACCAACTGAGAATGAGAGTCATGAAGTGATTCAATGCGAACTACTTCAGATTGAGTGAGGTTTTACTATTTTAAATAGAAATGAGGAATTTCAAATTGAAGCCATTATAGCCAGATTCAAACTGGCTCACTGGGCTTTTCCAAAAAGTCAGGAATTAAGCAAAACAAAGCACTCTAAATATTTTTTTTTCTGTTGAGGAATACAAATTTGTTATATGCGTATTGTGTTCCACACTTTACTATTTACATACAAAAGCTGAACTCACCAGAAGTCCATTGGAGCTATGGATGGTGACACAGCGAGAGAATGAGTGGTGGATCGACAGATCACTGACATAGGTAGGTGGGTTGTAACCTCCCCTCTCATCCACTTCACCGTTCATATGGAAGTGGACCGGGTAGTGTCCCATTGTTTGCTGGCCCATGTGTTGGAGCTCCACACCAGATATATGTACGGCCTTGAAACCTCGCTCTACCTAATGACAGCAGAGATCAGTCAGTTAGTCAGTCTTACAATAAAATGTATGAGGATTGCCACAAAGCCTTTTCAGCAAAGTTGAGGAGGTGGAATGAGTTTCTGAGGAAAGAAGTAGGGAGTGGAAAAGAGAGCAAAAGGGGAGAATTTGAGGGGTGGGATGAAGACAGCTACAAGAGCTTTGACAGACAATTAAAGAAAACTGACTAAAACAACTGGACCAATGTAGTCAGAAAAAAACTCCACTTGATGGATCACAGTTTTTTATAAAAATAGAACAACTGTGCAGACATTTGGAGAGATGGGAGGTTTGGAGATGGTAAAAGCACAAATGTCAAAAGTGGTCTTTTATTCTCAAGGGCTTCACTCGACCAAATTTTGTTGGGCTTTCCAATTTGTGTGTATGTGTGTGTATGTGTGTTTTGTCTTCCCAAAAGTGCTGCATACCCACCGTGCATGAGCAATAACTGACAGGATGAAATGTAATGGAGTAATCTAATAGGATATGATTGTTCACCCTTGGGACCGAGACTTGAAGGCACTCCTCTCCTGTGTCCTCATGTCCTTCCCTGTCTCTCAGTGTCTTCACTGGATTTCTAATTCCAGACTGCATGCACAGCTTTGATTTTTTGATTACGTTTTCGATGAGAGATATCTGTCACGGGATACATGTGATTGTTTATAAACTAATTGTTTATCCATAAACCATTAATCAGTGTTGATAAAATGATTGCGGTGGCTGACTGGGTGTGAGCTGCGGCTGATAGCAGCTCCTGAATGCATGTGCATTCTGTTACCACTGGTGAGAAAAAAACAGCTGAAGAGCATGAGCAACTGTGTCGTCCTTTAAACACAAACAAGGGCGTTACAAATTGCATCCACTCCAAAATACCCCCACTCTGTCGATTCCCTATCAAAGGCGAATATAAATGGGACTTGGCAATTATATGATCAAGAATTGTGATATGATGGTGACCATCAGCGAGCAATCAGACATGGTGGCGGAAATGTATGTAACAGCAGCCAATCAGAGTCCAGGTTTTCCTACCCAACTTTGGTTTCCAAGTTGAAGACGTATACGGAAAGTAGAAGGAACAAGAAATAAACATTGACCGAACACACAGCTAAACGCACAGCTGTTCATCAGCCATGACTTGACGTTTTCTTCACAAGATGAAGCTATTTCGATGAGAGAATTGCCTCACTGTTGCTTGAGTGGCGGTTTCTGCAAAGCGCCTTGGAGTGGACGAAGCCATTGTGCAAGGTAAGCCAGTCCGCCAAAAGCATTTGATTGTTTGAACCGGTCGGTGGTGCAAAAAAGGTTGGGGACCACTGGATTACATGATTGAAGTTTAAAGAAAGAAGATATATAGGAAAATGAACAGTTTCTTCATGTAATGGTTTCATCAAAATCATCTCCCCTCCCCGCCACACTATTTTATACAACAAACTAAATGAAACTAAAAATGAAGCTGAGATATGGTTCAAGTTGGACATCAATGCGGGTAAAAATGACGTAGTGACAAAATAAAAATACAATGATAAAATACCTTTATATGTTTAATACTTACGTGTTCAGTTAATAAGAATAGCGTACCTTCAAATGTCCTCCAAAAGTGTCAAAGTCAAAGAATTTGCAGGCTTCATTTCCGTAACAGCTGGGCTCCATCTCACCACGGACTAGGATGTTACGACTCAGCAGGCCAACCTCCGCTCTCATATCCACCCCATCCACCTCTTCACCCATGTGAATAAACTGGACTTTACCTGGGAACACAGACACAATGCATAAAGAGCTGGGCTTCAAGAACTGCAGAGGACATTATATTCCTCCTTAACCCTTTCATGCACCCTGTAACCTGATAAGATGCTAAACTGTCCACTGGAGTAAGCGCTGTCCCTGAAAGGATTAATGTACTGCCTGAATGCTTACATCAATAGTTGGGTAGTTTTTTTTACACCCAGAGTTATGCGGCATGCTTGAAACAAACAGGTCACACTTTTGAATGTGTTATTTATTTACTGAAGCAAAACACTTCCGCATCCGCTGTCTAAACATTTGCTGTAATGCTTGCAAAGGTTGTACCCTGCCTCTCGCCTAAAGTCAGCTAATGAGGATAAGTGGGGAAAAAAAATGGATGGAGAAATCAATAAAGGGACTATTTGTGGTTGCACATATTCTACAATCATTTTAATCAGGCGTGGTGAATACCAATTTGGGGTGTCACAATCAATGTAATTAATCAATATATTGATGTGTCTGCCCGGTTTCCGCCAACATTGATCAGGGCTGGACTTGTTTACATTGAAGCTGGCCACATATTTCAAAACTGTTCAATGTAATGCAAAAACATTTTTTCCAATGAAAAAACAACTTTTTTGAAGCACAGATAATGCAGTCTAAATAACTCCAACCATCATAATGAAAAGGCCTACTATGTACCAACCTACTGCTGACACACTTTCGTTCTTTCAAATGTACTTTGGTGCAGCAATACAGTGTGTCTTCAGGGGAAAAGGTTGTCTTGTATGGAAATTGGCAAAGCACCCAGGGCACAAAGCCGCAAAACACTGCATGCGGATAAATTTTGTTTTTCATGAACAGGCAGAGTCATGGCATCTGTTAGCATTTTTTTTTTTTTTTTTTGCGGTGAGTTGGGGCCGGTGGTCTCCAGAACCAAACTTTATCTCAGGGGTGGGCTTGGACACTACTCTGCGCTTCAAAGGAGTTGGTGTGACACTTTATCTTCCTCGTCTTGTTGTCTGGGTTGAAATTGCATTTATTAGTGCCTTGAAATGTAGAACATCAGTCTTTTCCAATGCATTAAATTCACAGTGGTCACGTCCAAGAAGTGGAAAAACACCGCTATTTGTTTTAGGGATACATGGACACACATTGATCCATAAGATCTACCTCTCCCATGTGCTCATTGTACAGTTTCACGGACAAAAGCTGATGGATATTGAGCACCTTTTCTTTCTTTCGTGTTCTATCTCTGGGCCAAATTTGGTGGGGACTGACCAACACAGGAAGAGGTCATGTGAATCACTGTACTATCCAGCCAGCGTGTGACAGGGACGTTTTCAGCATTGGTAACAACAGAGCAATATCCTCTTCCCTCTTCTTTGAGTTTCTTTTTACTTTTCGTCTTCAGCTGCGCTCCCTGGAGCCTTTTGCTTCTACACGTGCCAGTGCCGTAGATGCCTTGTTGTTTCAATGCCCGAATAAATGAAATGGTGCAAGGAAATGTGTCAAAAAAAGATGTTGTGATTTTTTTGCTGTGTGTTATCACAGAGACGCATGACGACATCTGCAGCCATTCTCAATCCACAGACTGCACCACGCCCAGCCACATCCTGATATACTTCAAATCTGTGCGTGTGTCCAGGACTCCTTGTTCTAACCCACACTTTTGCACCCAAGGGTTTGGGTTTCTTTGGGATACAGTAATCCCTCACTATAACGCGGTTCACCTTCCACAGCTTCGCTGTTTCCCGGATTTTTTTAGTGCAGTTTTTTTAATGCTTTTTTTAAACAGTGAATTGTGTTCTGCATCCTGATTGGCTAAGGGACTGACCAACGTGAACAATCCCGCACCTCGTCTCTGTACAGCTTGCCAAATTTACCATTGGAAATTTTTGGTCTTTGGTTTCATTGTATCAGTGGCGGATGCTGGTCTGTCAAGGAGGGGAAGCTCAATTTCGGCCTACATTATAAAAAGTGTCCGTTTATTTATATGTGAATTCTACTCTCCGTTCCTTTTCAAAAAAATGAAAAGGATGCCTTCACCATAAGATCGTGATTGGCTCATTTTGCTGTCAATCAAAAAGAGATTCAGCCTCAGACAGATCATCCAATCATCATGCAGAAAACCCGAGCGTCCGTGCCAGCCGATACGCTGAGCGTCCGATGGGTGGGACAAAACCAGCATTTATCCAATGACTCGTCTCATTTCAATGCACTGGGACAACCTACACTGAACTCTCTAGACGCCCAGCATCCGCGCGGTCGACGCTCAGCGTCCACACAGTTTAAAGCACAGTGAAGTTGCGGGAATGAATGAGAAGGGAGTCACGTCATAACCAGTAATAGGAAGCTGATTCGGAACAAAAGTTGAGCGCGTTGTAGTGCATATTTAGTCAATCACATGTCCACACAATTGTACGTACACACGTATGTTTGATCACTTACTTTTTGACATTTTAGGGGAAGCTGAGCTTCCCTTGCAGTCTTAGAGCAATCGCCTCTGCATTGTATACATAATTCAGTATTGTATAATAACTGTAAAAAATAAAGCTGACTATCAAGTACCAAGTAGAACTTTATTGTCAAATGTGCGGTAGCACATTTGAAATTTCGTCCCACTCACATTTTTTTGCTTTTTTTTTGATAAATCCTACTTCACGGATTTCACTTATCATTGGTTCTTTTTGGAACATAACCCCCGCGATAAACGAGGGATTATTGTATTGTATTGATTATTGTACTGCTAGACAGACAATTGCCCTTGAAATGGTATGATCTATTCATCAATCGATCAGAATTCTTCAGGATCCACCGCTGCAAGCAAGTTTTTTTTATTTTTTTATTGAGTATATCCAACACTAGCCTATTTCAAAAAAGTTGATCAATATTTCCAGGCTCCTGTGAAGAATTATCACTGAAATGAGTGTACCTCAGAATCTACTGAAATCCTTTGAGCGGAATTTCATTCACTATCAAATCAAGACGCAGCCCTTTCTGTGATGACCAGTACATCCTTGATCTTGAGTATTTGAGGTATGACATGGCCAAATTAATCCAGAGAAATCAATTCAGTTCACCATTTGTAATGGCCGGGTTTTCTTTTCCTTTTTGCAGTGCATAGACGTTTGATTGGTGTGTCATTTCATTTATCAGATCTTTGGGAAATAGATTCATGAAGAAATGTATTGGGTCTGTTCCCTCAATGTTCACTTTGCTCTCTCCTGAGAAAGGAGGCAGGTTTTTTTTCGGACATGTCTGCCTTTTTTGTGTTCTTTAGGTTTGTCAGGTGGGACATTTTCGGCTCCCTGAGCTTCTTCAGCATCCTCAGCCTCGTCAGAATCCTCAACTTCCTCAGCATTCTCAGCTTCACTGTCACTTCTGTCACCACTGTTGCCATTTGCCAATTCTCTTTTTTCTGGTAACCATTCATCGTCACTGTTGCTGTTACAACCAAATTCCACCTTACTCAAGCGAAAATACTGTGGCGGCTATTGCACAACTGTGAAATTAAGATTCTTTCATAAACGTGAAAATAAAATTTCAATAGCTGCTCCCTGTGGTGTAGTGGTGCCTGACTTGTGTACAGACAGCGTGAGATCGGTTCCCACTCGGTGACGGTGTGGACGTGGGTGTAAAGCAGGCCTGGGCAAATTACGGCCCGTGGGCCGGATCCGGCCCGTTGGTCTTTTTAATCCGGCCCGGTAGTTGGTACAGTACACAATTAAGGTTCGATGTAAATGATTGCATTCATTTCATTTGGACGTGTAATGACAGGTATTTCAACGCCAGGTGGCGGAGTTACTTGAAGTTGCAGAGCACAGGGAGGGAGAGGGAGACGATACGGAAGCCCGCAGTCGCGCTAACTCAAGTAACTCCGCTCGATACGAGGGAATAAGTGTGTCCGCGGCGCAATTTACAATCATTGGATTCAAACGACGACATGCAAGTGACTCTTTATTGCAGTGAGTTTTACTGGAATTGCGAACATTTTTACGTCCTGTATATCATGGTATCCAAAGGAAGAGGAACAGTCATGGCCGCGAAAGTGAAGTGTATCTAATTAAACGAAGCGGGTTACAAAGTACGAAACATTCAGGAGACGCTTGGAGTCTGATAGACTCAAATCTACGACACTTTGAAAAACGAGGAAGCGATTCTTGCTCATTCCAATTCTGGGTGTTTCCATGCTCAGAGTGAATTGCATGCGGCTCGACGGACAGTCGAACAAATAAACGTTGGCTGGAATGGTTTGACTGTTATCGTGTTAAAAACTTTCCTGCAAACTGGACCGCTAATAAGAGAGCAATCAAGTTCCATAGCGCTATGGGTGTCGACGACTTCGAAGCGTCCAGTGGCTGGCTTCAAAAGTTCGTTGCACGACATCAGCTGAGCAACGCTGTCTTGTGTGGTGATCGAGTGGAGGTCAAGTTCGAAACAGTGAGTGAGTGGAAAGAAAGCCACCAGGTCTTTTACTCGTCTCATTTTGCAGCAAATAGTCCTAACTTTGTTATATTTTGTCATGTACCTGTACTGTATGCTGCAGTTTTTGGGCAATATATTGTTGCACTTTGTTGCCAGTGTTGTCACACATGTATGTTGTCAACATACTTGGACGTTCATCCAGGACATATACCACAGTTGTTTCACTGTTCTCATGAAAAAAAAAGTATGGTATACTTTAATGCTTTTTCTGTAAAATAACTGCACTTTCATTGTCTAGCAATAATACATACTCTTATCAGCTTCTGTTAATAATGTCATTAACTTATTTCAACGTAGAAATAAAACTGAAATCGGGAGTAGATTTCTAACTTTTGGCCCGGCCCTCCACAATATTTTCTGCTTCTCATTTGGCACCCCTGGGAAAATAATTGCCCACCCCTGGTGTAAAGGGTCCTTCGTCTCTATATGTGCCCTGCGACTGACTGGCGACCAGTTCAGGGTGTAGTCTGCCTTTCGCCCGAGCTCAGCTGGGCTAGCCTCCAGCACCCACTCCCCCATTGACCCTGTTCAGGATAAA